ATATATATATATATATAACTATGTCAATCAACATTGATAAATGTTTTGATGAAATTCAGCAACGATGATAATCATTAAAGAAAATTTCTAACAAACTAGGACTAAAAGGGCTTGTTAGGACTTGCCTCGATGGCACCTAACAACAACAATAACAATCTTTACTACAAATTAACAAAATCATGAATGGCAATACTTTTTAAATGATGCTCTAAAACAATGTCACTAATACCAGCCTTGGTAGTCATTAATCTCTCTGGTTTTGTCCTACCCAGAGGCCACAGCCCAGCAAGCACTTTCAGTTTGCAGAGCACCCCTTTGAAAGATTTCACTTGGGGAGTATAGGTCAGCTGTGCTTAAAAGAAAATCCTCTATCCAAACTGAGCTTGTTCAAAATGTGAATAATTCATAACACAGGATAAACCCCAAATGCATTTAATTATAGAGGAAAAGTTTTAAAAAGCATATAATTCTCAACAGAGGCTAAAAAACATTTTATGGTGGCAACATTTTTTTCATAATTATTGGTGTAGTGGTCAAGAGTTATAAACTGTCATTATACACAAACCCGAGTTTGAATTGTCTCATTTTTTAATTGTTTAACTTGGACAATTTGCCTGAACTTTCAGTGTCTCAGTTTCCTCATCTGTAAAATATAATTAATTATAGTATACCTACCTCATAAGGCCACTCTCATCTGTCAGTTTGTGGTACCCATTACCCACCAGTCCTACCTCCCTCACTTTAGAATTTGACCAGTCATTGCTGGGTTCAGTTACCCAAGTAGACTGTGTTCTTTAAAGTCTCTAGAATTTGGCATATGCTGTTCCCTCTTTCTGAAATGCCCTTCCCTCCTTCCTCTGGCAAAAAGTTTCTGCTCCTTTAAGTTTCCCCTCCTCTGGAAACCATCTCTAACTCTCCCTGGTAGAATTGTCAATCTTCCTGTTACCATGTAAACTATCTAGAGTTACGTTCTATTTACTTACATTTGTTTCTTTTTCCCCGGATGAGTCTGTGAATTTCTCCAGGTCAAGAACTCTGAGTCCCAGAATGCCCATAACATAAGTAAATATTTAATATATGTTATTAAACAAATGAACAAACGCCTAGTCCAGTGACTCCGGCTTAGCATGTTCACAGTAATACCCGTCGAATCGAATGGACTGAATTTAACAAAAGTGGAATTTGCAGCGGGTGGCCCTAGAAAAAGGAGTGCCTACTCAGGGTTG